ATTCAGATGGTAAGACGTTCGTTTTATGCCGTAACTCTTCGCCGTCTTCTCTCTGAATGGAACTCGTTTAAAATTAAAAAATCCTTCACTACTTTCTTCTCCACTCCCGCCAGCACCACCACCGCTTTGTTGTTGTTCAATATCTTCCACCACTTTCAATAAATCTTCATCTGAGATATAATCTCTTTGTGAAACTTCATCTGGAACATACTCCATGTTTGATCCGAAGTGAATTATTTCGCCAGATACCGTAGAAATTATAGTAACGGTGAAAAAGCATAGCGTCAGTATTGCGCGCGTAGCATAACGATAGGTATTCATCATTCAGTAATTTTCCGAACACCCGTACAAAAAGCAAGCACGCGGATCGAAGGTCAAGGTGAAACGTTTCTTACGCGCGCGCGCGCGTAGCAAGGCATCGATGTCAAAGCGCATTTTTTTCGTAATCACGGATGAAAAAAATTGAGTAGACAAAAATAAAAGAGTTTGAAGAAAGGAATGATGTTTATTTACAAATGGTTATGTTATTCCTACTGCATTTTTTTCTTATTTTTTCGGCGGAGCTGACAGCTCTTCCAAAAATGGGTCCGGTTTTTCTCAGAAATTGTAATTGCTTAGGTGTTATAGCAGGGAGTCTCTTTATTTTGGTGGTTTTTTTCCTCCTTTTTCGGGTGGCAGCTTCTAGAGCTTTTTTAGCACCATAGGATGCACCTCCTCCAAGAGCGCCTAATCCGATGGCTTTACCACCTGCAATAAGTGCTGGAATAAGTGCTGCTAAGGGTAGGAGACCTCCTTTTTGTCTAGTTCTTCTTCTTCTTCTTCTTCTTCTTCTTCTTCTGTTTTTTCTTATTCCAACCATGGTGTCTTCTTGTAGGTTACACGAGTATACTCTAAGGTATAATGACGGTGGATGGTGCGTGTTGTTTTTTTTATAAGTGAAGGAGTGTGTGTGTGTGGGATTATTTTACTTTTTTCTGGTGGTAGCTTCTAGCGCTTTTTTAACACCATAAGATGCACCTCCTCCAAGAGCACCTAATCCGATGGCTTTTCCCGCGGCCATGAATGCTGGAATAAGTGCTGCTAAGGGTAGAAGACCTTTTTGTCTAGTTCGTCTTCTTCTTCTTCTTCTTGTTCCTCTCCATCTGTTTTTTCTTCTTCGAACCATGATGTCTCTGATTTTTACGCGAGTATATTCTGAGTGGGTAATAATGACGAAGGTTGATGCGCGTTGTTTTTATAGCTAATCGACGAAGAGGATTATTTACAATTTGAATTTTCTTTTAGCGGCGATAATATTTCGCGACAATTTTTCCATGGGTGATTTTTTACCAGGAAGTGCATCGATGGCATGAACCATTTTTGGGTCAGCTTTCCATTTGTCACGTATGTTTTTGGCATTGGAATAGTCTATATCGTGTTGTTTGGCGATTCTGTCCAAACGATTGATACCAGGATCACCGCGTGCGAGTCGTTTTTTGAGAAATGTTCCAGGACCAAGGTATTGATATCTTTTAAGTTTTGAGAGTGAAAAAGGATGAAATTCAATTCCTAATTTTTCGATTTTTTTCTGTATGTCAACTCTCCCTCCTTTCTGTCTTCTTTTCTTCGATTTACGTGTATCGTGTTGTTTTCTAGCCATGATTCTTCTTCTTCTTCTTTTTCTTTTCTTTGAATGACGAGCGGCGTGTTGTCGTTTTCTGGCCATGATATAAGATTGATAATGTTGAAATGAGATAGGGTGATGTTTATATACAGTTCAGTCTTTGACGAGATTATTTTGCGGCTGATTCATTGGATCTTGTATACGACGACATCTATTCCTGAGCATGGTTATGCGGTTATGTAATACCTTATTGCTTTGACAAACAGTCTCGTTTCTAGACTGACAAGATTTTATATTTTTATGAACACAACAAAGTTATATTTACAACAAGAAAACTTGGTACGTTGTAAAAAACCTTTAGCTGGTTTTAAGATTTTGACGGCTCGTGGTGTTTTAGAATATTTAGCAGTTATTTTTCGCATTTTTCTCAAAGTTTTGTTGAGAGTACCATCTACATCTAATTCAGGTTCTCCTTGAGCAAATGGCAATACATCCCACGACACGCTTTTGCTTGAGGTTTGTTTCTTGGGTATCTTGAGGGGAATTCTCGACGGTTTTAGAGGTGGTGGTGCCGTCGTCGGTTCTCTTTTGGGTGCTCTTTTGGGTGCTCTCTTGGGTGTGGCCGGTTCTCTTTTGGGGGTGACTTCACTCAAAATTCTTTTCAACAATTTCTGTTGTACGGGAGTCACCAAATCTCCTTCTTCGTCTTTTAAGGATTTTGCCAACTTGGTAGGATCGGCATCGACCGATAACGATGCTGGTAGTTGTCTCATTTTTCTAACGTAGAGTTCTATATCAGGATCGAGCTGTTTGATGGCTTGCTTTTTGAAAGCGTGACTTGTATTGGGATTCTTTAAAATTTCCATTTTACGAGTCAGGAGTTTGGCCGCTGTATCCAATGTAGGATCGACGGTCAATCGTCCTTTGAAAAGATTCACCATGGCCGGATCTTCGGCTGGAACCATGTACATTTTTTGATAAGCCATATTTTTCTCTCTCTCTCTTTCTAACGGCAACAAGTCTTGACGACAGTGGTTAGTCCATTCCACAATTTTCCACCTTTCTGATTTATCAAGGCTTGTCTTCTCTTTTTAAGCGATACGGCTCGATTTCCAATTTGCCTCAGGATTTGTCTGTAAGGTCTTAATCTGGCCATGGTGACGGGTATGACGGGCACGTTGTTTTTGAGTAAATTCATCACGATTTCGCTTACGGCGACACGCCCTTCTTGTTTAGGTTCAATTGTACACTGTCTGCACATCCAGAGGCGACATTATCCCACATGTATAATGTGGTATGTTGATCGTCTCCCCAATGTTCTGGTTTGACATACATTTTCCTCGGTAGGCTGAACACTTGGCACTGATAAGTCTGTGATACCCTGACATGTCATATTGACCGTTGTCTGCAATAAGTTGCAAAGGTTGATACGGGTACTCTTCCCCTTCCACAATCTGTTTGATACTACTGACATCGAATTTTGGGAAATTGAAAGGATTGTATGCGTAATTGCCTGAGAAAGCATCTTGATAGACTAATCCCACCACCACGCGGTCCGGGACTCTTCCATTGAACACGTCTGTAGCTTCAAAGTTAGTGTGATTGTTTTGCAAGGTGTAGGTCCTGATTTCTGATCTGACGGTGGGGTAATACACATCCAGATTTTTCTGCAGTCTAGCTGTAGCGATTTTATTGTACACGTCTTACCTGACTTTGACCATGCAGGCATAGAATTTCATTTTCAAATCACCGGCTTGTAACCTGACTTTGGTGGCCACTGCAGCCAGTCCGTTCATGAAGAATTTAGGATCGTTGAGTGTAAAACTCATTTTGAGATCGACTCCTGGTATAAGCATTCTACCCGTATTGAACAAATCTACATGGTGTAACCCAAACAGTTGAATGGTTTTTCCTCCCGTGGTTTTTTCTTTCATTTCCACGAGACCGTCGACTGCTTTTTTTCGTTCTTTCGATAACGCTGTGTAGTCGACATTAGGTGTGGCACTGTCGATTTGACTGGCCGTCAGGTCGTGAGGTGGATAATTTAGAGCTCAGTAATACCCTTGAGGTCTGAGAATCGTTTCCTCATCTTCTGTTCCATAATTGAGTATGGTTTCCAGATATGCTTTATAAGCGTAGGTGTCTGTTTGTTCGGTGGTCAGAGTCCCATTCACGTAGATGGAAGGTTGTTTGATGATGGCGTGAAATGCGTTTGGAGCCAACCATCGTTGCGATGCAGCAGCCAGATTTCCTCCGTCGGTTTTTTTCAGAATCAAATCCATACGAAAATAACCTCGACTAAAATCGATATATTCGCGGCTGCCTGGTATCACGAATTCTATAGGGGTAATACTTTCACTGGTCGGATTGATTTCCACGATGCGGTATCCATTGTAAGTGATGTTGGTAGGTGGTACTGTAAAAAGATCTAAAGCACTATCTTCAACCACTCCCGATTTGAAGTGGGCCGGGGAGGCCTCACGTCCTCCGAACACGATGCTCATCTTTTAAGAACTGATGAAGAAACGCTCACTAAAAAGCTTTTTATACTTCTCTGTGACGTGTGGGTGAATTTTTTTCTTTTCTACCTATACTTATACTTTTTCTTCATTTCCATACCCAAGAGTTTAAAGAGATTCTTGCCTAGGAATTTTCCTATTCGATATCCTGTTCCTAGAGTTGCAAATATCGGCACCTTGGCGGCCGAAAACTTTCCTACTCCTCCTCCTCTTTGCTTATTAATCCATCCAGCAAGTTTTTTTTGCCTTCTAAACCATCCATCCAGTTTTCTTCCAATTTTTTGTCCATTTTTCATCGCAATGTAGGCGTTTAGAGCTCCTCCTCTCTGTCTTTTTCGCTGACGACGACGACCGCTACTACGACGTCCTAGCATACCACTGCCTCTTTGCCTGGCTAATCTCAACATGTACCCTTGATTTTTAAAGGGATTAGAAGCTCTGTTTATAGGAAGATCATCCATATCTTTTTTTTTTTTGATGAAAAAATGAAAAAGGATCCAGCTCTTTTATATCTTTTTTTTAATCAACTCTATGAAAGAAAAACAAAGAAAAAAAGAAGAACATTTTTTTTTTATTTTTCCTAAAACACAACGTGACCACGGTTTCGTCGTTTGAATTTAAGAACTCGGTTTGAGTTCCATCGGTTTCACTGATTCCTATTTCCAAGGTATCGAATTTATTCTTACGAATGGGTATAAATTGTAAATTATGAGGTTCGAAAGTGCTGTTAGATCCGCTGTATACGACCTCTCTTAGTAAATCAGTTTCTGAACCACCTATGATTTGTGTCTGTACCAGATCTGAATAAACGTACAACGGACGTTCTTGATATGTTTGACTTGACTTGACTTGCATGCATTTGACACAACCTATAAATGTACCAATTGACTGAATATTGCAGACGTAAGAATTTTGATTAGCTAGGATTTCCTTCAGGTTTAAATTGAAACGGTTTGGAATCCACTATTTCCCATACTCTCTGAACATCTCCTTGATAATTCACTTCGCTGATGGGGTCCCTAAAATGTTCAAAAGTCAACAGACTGGTTAACTCGAATCCTTTTTGATGCGACGGTACTCCTACTTTCGGAATCACCAATTTGAATGCTTTAGCTACATCCAAATGCATATAGAAATCGTTTTCAATTCCAGATCTGTAATTACCATCGATTCCGCTGTTGTCTATACACAATCTGTAGGAACCACCACCGACATCCTCCCAGTAAAACACAGGCCATTTAGGTCGTTTCTTCTGATAATCTTTATCTTCAACCATATAATTCTTCATTTTAAGAGGCAACCTACTGTGCAGCCTACGGTTAAGCAAAGAAATCATGCTATTCCAGAAATCACCACCATGTATTGGCATGTCCTGTGAAAGTTCATATTTCAGGACGGATCCTCTCAACCAATAGGACTTGCTTCCAATTTCCAAATTGTTGTAGGTTTTCACACCATTCATTTCAAGTTCCATACCACATAAGAAATCCACTTCCGCTAACTTCTGATAATTGACATTCTTGTGAATCACTGTATCCAACGTAGACGGAAATGAAATGCTTGACAAAGCCACTTCCCATTCACTCTCAGGTAGATAGATCTCTTTTGCTAACTTCACTTTGAATTTACCGGGAGAGTTATCCGGGTAAATTCGAGAACTTGCAGTACTCGGGAGAGATAGATAGAACACGTCACTCATTCTTTCAAAAAAATGTTTCTTCTATTTTCTGAATCCAAATATCAAGGGTACACTTGCTTAAATGCAATTAGATGGACATTTCTGAGGACCCATGACCGCTTCTTCTAAAATTGATGGTCAATATCGTCTGTCTATCTTTGAAATTTACTTGCGAGCCATCGGTTTCACTGATTCCCACTTTTACGCTGTCAAAGACGTTTTTACGAATAGGTAAATACTGTAAATGTAACGGTTCAAATAAATATTTCCCTTTTTCGTTATTAGTGAACGAGACTTCTCTCAATAAGTCTGTCTCTGTACCACCCACGATCTGAGTCTGTGTCAAATCTGTGTACACGAACAGCGTTCTCTTAGGATCCGCATAAGTGTGATAGATTTTTTCATCCAATCCTGAAAAATACCAGTTGACATAAGAATAGAATCGCACGTAACGACCCGCGACCACATTCCATTGAATATCCACGATTCTCCACAGGTCATCCGTGGATTTCCACAAATTAAAATTGGGATCTCTAAAATGTTCTATTCTGACGCTACTTGACAAGCACGTGATTTTAGTGCCATCACTTTTTGTTTTTTCTTCCAGCAAGTAGAATTTTTTAGCCAACTCCAGTTCAATGTCTACGTGGTTATTAGCTAACCAATTTTTCGTCAATTCTTCCAAACTTCGTTTATCTTGCGGTGGAGGAGGATGTAAGTAATCTGGGTCGAACACGTCCATGTATTGTACATGTTCGTTGTTGATCTTCAAATCGTATCTGTCTGCATTCAACACCCATTCGAAATGAGGAAATTTCCCTTTTCCACTTTAATCTTTCCATTCTTCAAACCTCCTTCCTCGGCTATTTATATACCCTCCGACATAATCGTAGATATCTTTCATCTCCTGGTACAATTGATTCGTGACTAAATTTATAAAACGCGACCAGATTTCATACCCGCTTCGTACGGTAGTAGGAAATACCGTACAATCTGACTTTTGTAAGTCCACCACGGCATTACACTTTGCATTATGCCAATATTGAGTACCTCCTTTCTTGTCTTTGGCTGTTTGCCACCTATTATTTATCCATCTTCTCACGGGTATGAGTACTCCGTCGTCGTTGGTGACCTTAGTATGTATGTTCGAGCGAACCAAAATAGGTACTCGCGCGTCTATGAAATCATCCACTCGAGGTACCATATCCGGAAATGAAATACTAGCCAATGCTACCTCCCAATCATTTTCCGGTAGAAAAATATTTCTTGGTAGTTTGACTTTGTAGTGACCTGGATTATTTTCAGAATAAATCTGTGAACTTGCATAGCTAGGTAATGTCAGGTAGAAATTCATCGTGGTAAATCACATCGAAACCAAAAGTGCATGTTGCTTGGTAAATTGGGTTTTATTTATATGGACGCTTTCTGAAGCATAACGTGACTACCGTATTTTCGTTTTTATTTCCTACAAACTCAGTTTGTGTTTCATTGACTTCGCTGATTCCTATTTCTATGGTATCAAATATGTTTTTTCTTACGGGAATAAACTGTAAATTCTGAGGTTCGTAACTGTTCTTTATGACATTTCCATTCGTAGACCCGTCGTATTCCACTTCTCTCAAAAGATCTGTTTCCGATCTCCCCATAAACTGTGTCTGCACCAGATCTGTGTACATGTACAAGGATCGTTTTGATACATGGGACTGTGGTAGGTATGACCCAGTTCGTAAATGTACCAATTGACAGAAGCTTGCAAACGTAAAAACAATGAGTTGCTGGCGACTCCTTCTGGTTTGAATCCAACCTCTTTTGCGTCGATGATAGTCCAAAATCTATGAACACCTTCAAACTCTACAGTGGTACTCGCGGGATCTCTGAAATGTTCGGCAGATACAAGACTGCTTAATTGGTACCCTTTATCTTCGGCTTTAGCAGATCCGTTTGAATGCTTTGGCAATGTCTAGATGAATGTAAAACTGATTTTCAATCCCAGATCTGTAACAAGCATCGATTCCTGAATTGTCTATAAACAGTCTATAATCACCACCGACATTTTGCCAGCTGAATACAGGCCATCGAGGACGTTTGGTTTGAAAATCTTTGTCTTGTGTTATGTAGTTTTTCATACCGTTTACAATTCTGCTATGTAAATGGTAATTGAGTAATCCAAGCATCCTATTCCAGAAATCCACTACATTTCTAGGTGTAGTCATCCCCTTTGTATATTCATACTTCATTACAGATCCGCTCAAGAAGTACTCTTTGTTCGTTATAGGAAAGTCACTTTTATCTTCCATATCTTTCATGTCCAAAACAAGACCGCACATAAAATCCATTTCTGACAATTTTTCATAATTCACATTACTCGGAAACGTGATGCGCGACAAGGCCACTTCCCATTCTCTTCCCGGTAAAGAGATCGTCTTGAGAAGTTTGGCTTTGAATCTAGCTGGAGTGTTATCTCTGTAGATAGTGTCATATCCATTACTAGGAAGCGTGAGATAAAACGTGTCCTGGTTACCCTGCATGACTCATAAATCGACTATTTCCTTCGCGTCTACCCAGCTGTCGTATTTGGAAGGCCAACCTTTCCATCTGACCAAAGCTTTCC